AGATTCCTCATAAAAGCATTTGACACTTTAACGTGACTATGCATTGGATGGGAAAAGGGCGATGTCACCTGTGAAGAGTTAACGTTTTGGGCCTGTTCCTCATCAAACTAAACCCAAAGCTGCGTTTTCAGCAACAAAACTGCAGGCCACTTGGATTAACTGAAGCTGGGTAAACCTTTTAAACTGTCAAATGTCAGGTGAAAAAATACCAGGGCAGCTGGGGCCGGGTGAGTGTAAACCTTGTTCAGATGGCGTGTCCCCAAGTAATCGGGGAGTGCCAAGCACAGCTTCTCGTGTTCTTTTAGGATGAGCAGAGGTGCCAAGTGTGCAGAATTGGAAACTGTGAGGGTTTTTTCCTTTGCTTGATGTTGTGCAGACAGCAGAGACAAAATACCAAAAATGCTTGAAATCCTTGTGACCTTTCATTGCAAACTGTGAACTTTGTCCACTAACCTCCAGTTTCTATTTACACTGTCAGCAGAGACTCCTTGCTCTATTGCCTTTTCTTTCCCCTTCCCGTTTATCGTGTCTCGAGTGACAGCTCCACAAACACTGCACGGGAGGGGGGACCTGAGCGCGTTCCAGGACCGCTGCGCGTTCAAACCGCTGAGTCTCCGTGTTGTGGGCTGCTCGGAAATGCCCGTAACGCGAGCAGAGAGGCCCCGGCCTTGCTGTCTGCACACAAAGCAGGCATTCTGCAGCGAGCTTTCCCCTCGCCATCGCCTGGCGAGGCTCACAGTCCCACGCCGCGTGCCAGCACCGCAGGGCTGCAAAGCTGCCCCAACTGCACCATCCCCCATTTGCACCAGCAGTACGCGCAGGCCACTGTGGAGTAAACGGTCCAAAAATGCATTTGGTAAATGCTATGTCAGCTTCTCATCTAAATATCCCCAACTTCAGCGCCGTGCTCCACTGTTCAGCCACCCTTTGTCCGTCACGAGTGGCCAGCCTACTGCGGGAACAAGTATGGGGGGCAGCTCAGATGTGTGTGCCAGAAATTGTTCCTGTGGCAGCTTGCTGTGAATTGTGATGTTTCACACTGTTGGCACAAGATGCCCTGATTTAAGAAGGGTAAGAATATCCTTAAACCGTCTCTCAAGCAAACACCAACAACTGCACTGAAGTCCTTTGAAAGTAAACAAGAGGTTGAACTACATAAGAATTTGTTGGCTGGTGATTGATTTACTAACCTGATACATTCATGAACTATCATCAGGTGGCCAATTCTTCTGACTATATCTCAAATTTTACATCATTCTCCAATAGCAGTCCCTGAATTTTACAAGGCAAAGACGTTAACAAAGGTCCTGAACTCTTTGTGGTGTAGAAAATGGTATAGAAAAGCAGCATTTCCTGAGAGACTTCTGCAAAGTAAATACACCGGTATTTCCTAAAGAAACCCAGTGATTCCATAATGAATGATTACTTTGATAAATTAGGTTCATAAGGCTTTTTGGAGGAGACTATTCACTTCATACTACTTTTCTTTGGACATAGAAGATGTGGAAAAATGGATGGAAGACATTTGCCAAGCAATGACTGCAAAAACATGCACTATATGTTGCTGTTACTGAATTATCTGTCAACAAACTACATGCTTCAGAGCTTCCCAAGACCCACTTGTCTGTGCTGCACAAATATGAGGATTTATGCTTATTTCAAAGTCCATAAAAATGCTACTGTTTGGTGCAACAGTTTCCCAAACAGTTGCTCAGGTCTTCCATGAAATTCCAGCCATCCGTATAAAAATCTGCTGCCTATTTTAGAAAATCTGTCTGTTCAGCCTAAGGAACTCATGAGGGCAAATCTATCTTGTTCTCTTCCTGCATGTCTCAGTACTAAAGCTTTCTGTGTCAATTATTGCTACCAAAACCCCAAACAAGCCCCTCTTCAAAACACAAGCTAAACCAACCATCTGGTTTACTCACAGTAATGCTCCGCTTGGTTAAAGAAGCCGCATTCAGCAACAGGAAAGTGAGTTTCTGAGCTACTGAAAAGCACTGTTACATTTGGAAAGAATTTTTCTTTTTGTAATTTCCCTTTAATTTCCTCCCATCCAGAACTGCTGAAAGGAATCTAAGGAAGTTTTGCAAGAGTGGCTAAAGCAGTTAGGCAACTGGCTCCTGTTTAAAATCAGTGAATGGGTAAATGCTAGATAAGGTAGTTCTATGAAGACATAAATGATCTGAGGCTCAAGTTCCATTAAAAATCACCTAGTCCTTCTACCTTCCCTATCAGAGAGGAAAGAGGAAGGCTGGCAAACTAATCCTTATGATCAGAGAAGCAGGGATTGAATGGAGGTAAGTAAAGCATGGGAAGATGTGGAGAAAACAGAGGACAGAGGAGACAACTGTGCTGGTGAAGTTTGCATACTGAGAGATATAAAGTGTAGTTCAACATGAGAAAAAAGGGAGAGAAAGAATATCAGACTATATAAATTGGAATATTACTTTCAGAGACTTAAGTTTTCTTTTGATTTGAGACAAGACCTCACATAAAATTGTCGTATCACCACACTAAGCCCCTATGAACTCAGCACAATATTTTTTTTCACTCTATTTGTTGATCAGCTTAGTGTGTCTGAAGTTAAACTCTTCACCCTTTCTGAATAGTTCTCTCTTTGTTCATTTCAATTGTCTTTTTTCAATCTAAAGATATTATTAAAATACCACATTTGGGTGGGTAGTGGCGGCCATGACACTGGAATAAAGTGCAGAAAAGCCAAAGCAATCTGAGGCAAGCTAGACATTCTGAGTACATTTCTAAAATACCTTATTGCTTAAATAAAATAAACTTAAATCCTTTAGCCTAGCAATTACTTTCAGATGTCTGATTGTTTATTCTTAAAGAACTGTCGCATCGGCCATTGGGAACTGACCAGCCTCACTTCAATATCTTCACAAGTTTCCTTTGAATATCCACTCCCTGCCTTCCATTGGAAACTACACACTCATCTTCATTGTCTCTTGTATTTATCTTAGTATGCTGTGTTTTATTTTATTGGAGGAAAATCTTAGCAGAACTGTTTGCGGCAGGATTTAGTTACAGGAAACCCAAAAGCTCAGCCTCAGTTTCGGCGGAGACAATTAGGTTGTTGACTTTGGTCGGTGCTCAGGACTTCTATTGGACCCAAATGCCTTTCAAGTGGCTCTGTGAGTTGATGCCCAAGTCTGAAAATTTTCTGGATTCTTGCTACAGATACAGGGCTTTGTTTCCTTTTTCATTTGAGGGATATTTCTAACCCGATCTGAATGCTTGGCTGAAATGCTTCTCCCTTCACTGAGTAAATAAAATACATAAAATAAATAGGAAATAACATAAAGAAAGGAAATCACATATTTTCCACAACTTTCCACACTTTTAGCCTTTATATATATATATATATATATATAGTTCTCTGTGTCTTGATATCTGTGAGTTGCTGAGGACTGTGTATTTTTCTCAAAGCAATTTCATCGGGCATAAAAAATGCTAAATAACGGCTCTGTAATGGCTAGTTCAATTGCTGCTTTTAACTGTCTGCTAAGTGTATTTAGCAGCTCATGTTACTGTCTCATCTGCTGTAGGTAAAGGATGCTAAAAAACACATGATACTTTTTAAAAGCAATCCGTATGATTATATAACACAGGAAGATATTTATGGGAAGGTCTGAAGAAATTACTAATACAAAAAGCAACGTTCTCATGCACTGTTTTAATCCACTACTGTAGAACTTCAACGGCAAAGTTATCAGAGTCCACTACCACTCTTGGATGGATTTTTTATTGCTGGGTGGATTGAGCTCTAAAACTTTCTTATGGATGCTCAGGGAGAATTTAAATGCTAGCTGGAAGGGATTTTGCTCTGCGTTGCCGTTTTGTGGACTAGAGCCCTTGGCTCCCTTCCTCGTGCTGTCGCTCCCCTCTAGAGCGTCCAGGCCCGAGCAGGCCGGGCTGGCCCACCCCGGCGCGGCGCGTGGCCCCGAGGCCTCCGAGGCGCACGGCTCTGAGGCCGGCGGCTGCCAGGCCCCCCTGGGCCTTGCAGTTGTTGCGGCCCGAGGAAGCCTGGAGGTTTCACCGAGCGGCGGATCCGTCACCGCTGGCTTTCTGCAGCTACGGAGCGGGTTTTGTTGGACTCTGCCCGTTTCACTTCAGCACTGAATTCTACAGGGTTGCTGTAACTAACAGAGAAGTGCGCTCCGTGTAGCTCATCCTCACCGGGCACTCAGAATGCCTGGGGGAATTCGCATCGACTCGCTGTCAACATGCGGAGTCTCTTAATTAGCTATCTAAAAACAACCCAGAATGCAGGACACTACTGTAATGCAGCTTGTTAAGCAATAATGCATTTTTTCTTCCAAAAGTCACACTCGGAAACAGACAATAGTCATAGGCATAAGAGGACTGTGGATACTATGAGCTAATGTCTACTTGTCAGAAACTTTTCCGTTAAGGCTTGAAGTGATGTTTAACATATTCTTCCTGTGATTGAGCTAAACTAAACATAGCATTAAACATGGATTTCCCAATGAATGTTAGTGTGCTTTACTTTTACATGCGCATGTTTGTGTGAACAGACATGTGTGTTGATACATATTTGGGATATCAAAAAGTAGCTCAAAATCACAGATTGCTATATTCTAAGTATATAAGGGTTTTGGCATCGTTTTTCTAATGAAGCCTGTCATTTATCTTTCCTGATTGTAAAAATAGATTCAAAACAAGGTTCTTCAAACAAACGTGAAATACCAAAATTACATGTTTTCTCCTACTAAACAATGGCAAATGACTGAAAGTGTGGGTTTTCTAAATTACCTGGGGGGAAAAAAAATGCTGCTGACAAGGAGCACCCAATAGTATGTACCAAATATTCTTTCATGGGAAAATCAAATGCTCTGGTATATAGCAAACACTTGAACAACTTATCCAATCCTGCACCAGTGATAGCTTTAAGACAAGCTCCACTTTAACCGTTTGCACTTCGGTTTTGCCATTAAGGATCTCAGAGTAGGTATACTTACATTTAGCTTTCAGGAGAGGGCAGAAGGAGGACAGTTTGCTTGCTTTTCACTTTGAGAGGCCTAGATTTCCTGCTTGCGTTAGTCCTTTGGATATTTCCTTGATCTTCAGTTCATCCCTAGAGGGGAAGAAAAAAAAAAGAGATTATAACAAATGCATGGGCACACTATTGCTATTATCCTATTTTGCAGAAATATTACAGAATATTAGCCAAGGTTTTCAGATATAAGTGGCTTAACTTAGTCTCTTAATTCTATGTTCAGACTCCTTGTTCAAGGTCTGCTGCTCAGCAGTGTGAAAACCTGGCAACTCGTCCACTTGGAGGGGCCTTCTCAGCGGGTCAACACTCGTGAAAACCCATGTAGTGGTTTGAAGATGGACCAAAAATCTGATGGCTAGGTACTTCGGTTTGGCAATCCTGAAACAATTGGGCTCTACATCAAAAACTGTGTTTAGATTTCAAGAAAGGCTCTTGAGCCTTGTCGCCTCCGCTTCAGCTGAGGTGCCGTGGGCCCCTCTCCGCACAGCAGCTACAGGATGGGAGGTTTGAGGTGCTGCTAAAAAGCTCTGCTCCCTCTCATCATTCTTCACGTGCGTTGCCCCATGAACACACACAGAGCCTTTCTGCAACGAGCCACATGAAGTCTGGTTTGGCTTGTGGCTTTGTTGGGCTGTCCCAAGCGTCCAGGCTCGGGCCTGCACCAGCTCTGCACAACCCTGCTCCCCGCCATGGCCACCGGCCAGGCCAACCTTGCAGAGGACATTTGGGGTGGGAGGAAAGCTGGAAAGAAATATTATCCTCGTGTCTCCATGAGGACACCACAGGAAAAAACTTGAAAGAAGGAAAACAAGAAGGAAGAAGGTGAGTGGTTCCATGTTATTTTTAAAGGGAATGCAGGCTATGTGTTACAAATAGCCAAGGGAAAAAGTGAGAGAGAAAAACAATTTCACACCCCATTATCAAGGGATAGGAGATACTGCCCAAGCGCTGCAGATTATTTGTAATTGGTTTCATCCAGTTCATCTGAGTTGGATAAAGAAATGTGTGTTTGGCGTCTTTCCTGCGTGGCCCCTGAAGCCTGGAGAGCGGAAACTGCCAGTGCCTCGTCCGCGGTCTCATTGCCATTTGCTTCCCAGCCTCAGGAGGAGCAGCTTTGGACGGTTTATCCTGCCGGTACGTCCTCTCCTTTAAACGCAATAATTCAGATCACATCTACGCCCTTTCAGCTCTTCTGGAGGTGACTCTGGGCCCCAAAGCCCAGCTCTGGATGCAAACTTCTCTATGGCTCGCATGGGTTTGGGGTTTGGGCTCAGCCTGTTCTCTGAGAGAAGGAAAAATCTCAAATTTGGAGCTAGCTTTGAATAGGAAGGGCATGTGAGGGGACAGAAGCTGCTCTCCGGTGCTCAAGAAGAGAGGGATTTGATGTTTCTGCCATCATGGCCCATTGCTGCCCAGGGCAGCAGCAGGGACGGGGCAGCCATCACAGCTGCCCTTTCTGCCCCCAGCTGCAGCCAGGTTGCTCTGACTTGTCCTAGCCCTGCACTGATTCCTGTTCCTCCAAAGCCAGGCTGAGCCCTCCCTGACAGTGCAGAAGGAACAGAGATGTGTGTGGACCCTCATAATGGACAAGGATTTTACCAGAGCTTCAAATACAGTAAATTGTCGTGCACTCTCCTCTCTCTCCGACCCTGTTGGCTGCAGGTATCAGCTGGTGAGAAAACACTATTTAGTCTTTTCAATTTACAGGCAGAAAGGCAGAAAATCCCCATATTTACACTCCTAACAAAACCAGCATGGCCTCCCAATTCAGTTTGCTAATCAGAAAAATATTAGCTCTATTTTAGGCATGTACTTAAGTTCCACTGATTCCACATCCAGCAGAAATGCAAATGACTCCTGTGGAGTGAGTTCTGTGTTGAACTGGATCTACTTAGTAAAATATTTTGATCTGGTTTGGGGGAGAAACAAGGAATCTGGTCAGTTGCTGCAAATGCTTATGTAGCAAATTCACTGTGATATTCTTTGGACTGTTTTCTAATAAATTTTTTAAATTTTTGTGAGAGAATTACTGTGGAATAGAAGTCTGGGTGTGGAGAAAAGTCACAGGAATGTGTACACATAATTAGGTCTTTCAGAAGTAGCACACCACATAGGATTTCCTAAACTGTACCAGGAAACATTGACATCCTGGAACTGACATTTGCAGTTTCAAATGCCAGCTTTCCAAGCATAATTAGCATCCTTGTAAATGTGTCACTTAAAATTGGGGCTTGCTCTGGACAAGCTGGTCCATCAGTTTTAAATAGCTTTTTGCCACTTATTATTTCCTTTTCCAGTATTGCATGAAATGACATCTACGATATTTAAAGTGAAGTAGTAGTAAAGCGAACTAGGGGAGCTTGCTTTTTAAAAGCATTTCCTATATTTACAGAATCACGGAATAGTTGGGGTTGGGAGAGAGCGTTCTGGAGACCATCTGGGCCGACCCACCCTGCTCATGCAGGGTCGCCTAGAGCAGGTCACTCAGGACCACGTCAAGCCGAGTTTTGACTATCTCCAAGGCTCTCCTCTAGACACACACCAAACTGTAGGTAGAAGATATGAAAATTACTCATGACAGATGAGTCACATTATTATTTTGTTTTAAGCCATGAGAAAAATGAGACACAAGGGGCAGGAATCAGAACAGATCAAAACCTTTAGTGCTTTATGATCCAAACCCACAACCGTCTATTGAGATGCAAAATGTTCTTTTTTCACATAACGTGTGAAAAAAAACATGAAGAAGTTGTACTGCAAATGCTGGCAGCACACGATGTTGCAGTTATTCTCAAGATTTTGAGATGTTTGAATCAAAACCAGGACTTTAAACAACACTGTGGAAAAAACATTTTTATATTCTTTTGAAAAAAAAAGAAATGACAATTGCTTCAGAACGAGCGCGGCAATTTTCTACCAGTGACTGATAATAAAAACAGAAACAGGTAGTGTAATGACATCACCTCTCTTCTTACTCTTTTCCAAGATAATAAATACAGAATCATTCAGATCAGACTCCTGTTAGGGTTGTTAGATTTCTGGACTGTTAAAAATAACCTGCGCGTTCTGCTGTCTGAAAAAAAATTATTCTGAGCATCATGTATGGGTATTTTACTACTGCAGCTAATGTGGCTAAGTTGGTCTGGATATCGAACATTATCTTCCTATTTAGAGGTCAGTAAAGGGCATCAGTCACGCTGGGGACATTGACACTTGGTTACTGCTTGCTCTTAGGTTCCAGAAGAAACAATTTCTCTATCTGTTGCCAGCAGGTAAAAATGTCTGCAGTTTTGGTCACTGGGTGAAGTAAGCATCCTGTCTCCTCACACTTAAGTGTTCTTTCTTCTCGTTCCCTCCTTTTGATCTAGCAGCCAAACAATGAGCCCAAGTCTGCAAGGCACTAAGTATTTTACATGAGTCTGACGGCAACCTCAAGCCAGGAGAAAGGATCTGCTTCTTGCAGCATCCACTCGACGTAGGCAGGGCCTTCAGTCAACGTGAGTGATAAAATTTCTTCCCTGCATGTGTAATGGGTGCTTCACACGTGGACCTCATGGGTGCTTCAGACTGCCAGGTCCTGCTTCAGCAAAGGACTTAACGTGTGCTTGGATCCCCCACATGTTTTGGTGACAGGGCTTTCCTTGGCTAGGGTAGCTTAAGTGCAGCTATCGATGTGCTGGGAGCTGTGCGTGAGTGCTGGCCTGGAGATGCACTGAGCTTCTCATCATGCCAGGGAATTGGGTGGCAAGTACCAGCTCTGCTCAGAGGCCCTCGTCTGTCACGGGTAGCAGCAGGGCTGAGAGCAGATCCAGGATGGAGCTGCCAACTCTGCTGCTCTCCCAGCTGCTTATGGGAGCCCTGTTCCTACCCACTCCTACTTAAAACCTGCCATTTCCTCATGTGAAGGCAAAAGCAATTGCTCACAGTGCTGCACCATGCTGGCCTGGGCTGGTTTCACGCCTCTTTTTCATGCTGTGTAGCAGAGTTTAAGCACAGAAACTGAACATATGATTTATGGTGGATCAAGATGGAAGATTAAGGATTAAAATTTCAGAGCTAAATGGGTGGTCTTATCCAGACAATTACCGTAGACTTTATTGAGAGAATTACCTGACTCAATAATTCGGAAACATCACAAGGCTTTGATTAGCTGTAAAAGTGCTACCATAAGCCAATGAAAGCAAGCCCTCCTTTCTCTCCATCTTTAATTTTCCTCATCATGCCTGAGGAATTCCTCTAACATCTTTACAAATTCAGTATTCCAGAGGTGCTCTATGGGTACCAAACACATGTCCTGTCACTTCAGTAACCTTGTTCTCTGTGACTGAGCGATCAGAGGTTATCAAGGTGTGATTGCAACTTGCTTGCAAATAGATGGACGAGTTCCATTTTGCTTAGTCCATGAAAGCTCAGTGAAACCATTTATGCTCACCTGGCATCCCTCAACATGTGGGATACTTGCATTGGCCTAAACATAGATACTGGGTAACAGCAGGTGATTTCTTCAGTGATACTGGAACTATCACAAGCTTTGTCTTCTGTTAATAGTGCCTTTGAATGTGCTAACCTTCTCAGTTTTTTTTTCAGCCAACGCAATTCCTATGAAATTCTCTACTCAGAAGAAGTTGGTAGGAGCACACTGAACTGCAATTAAAGAGTGGGCCTCAAAGTGCCAAAAAGATTACATGGAGGTGTTACTGGTCCAGACTGAAATTTTGCCAGGACTTTAGGATAGAATTAGGTATTACTGTGTGTTCCTCTTTGGTATGTTTCTACACCATAAACTTGGACAGAATTTCAAATTTGCAATGAAATCTAAGCCCTAAAAAGACTACAGAATTTCTTGCTTGAAAATTTTCCTGATTCCGACTAATACATACAAAGATTTGCTAGTGCCAGCCAACACTAGTGCTCGGAGAGGTACCTGTAAAAGGAAAAGTTGGGTATAAAGGGCATGGTGTAATTTTAGTAGGGTTATTCATGCATGCCTCTTGAAAAAAGGAAAAAAAAAAAAAAGAAGCTTTCCAGCTCGTTACTGCAGCCAATATCAACA